CACACACACACACACACCATCACGAAGGAGTGGATGAATGAATTGTTTGCAGTAATTTGCAAACTGCTTAAGTAATTCTTTCCATTAGCAGCCATCCTGCTTGGTGTGTAACTTGTAGCTTAATTCTTTTTTGGCGGTTTGTGATCACACACAAACACGTACACACACACAGTACAAATACACACAGACAGCCAATCCTTTTTTATCCTCTGAAGAGGTTCTATAGAAGTCTCCTGAACTTCCACAGAAAAACTTTGTGGAAATGTTTGTTAGTGAACTTTGTTCCTGCATGGGATTTTTTTTTTGTCAGAGATCAGATTTCACTGTTATTTTATGTTGCGCCAAGTTTATCACCAAGAATGTCCCCTACTTACTTTTCTGTTGTCTTGATTATTTATTCATCCTTGCTGCTTGTGTTAAGATGAAATCCTGAATGTTAAAAAATGTTTTTGCGTATCTGGTTGAAATGATTTTTATATCACCAAAGGTCATTGACCCATACTACTCTTGTGTAATGTCATACCTGTACACTGTACATGCAGGCTGTCGTCTCTCTTGCTGTTTTATTTGTATAAATTCTGTCTGATTCACTTTTCCTTGTCTCTCCAGGTCGCACCCATCGGTCCAATCAGGTGACAGCCCCAGAGTACATTTTCCTCATCTCTGAGTTGGCTGGGGAGAGACGTTTTGCCTCCATTGTGGCTAAGAGACTAGAGAGCCTGGTAAATATCAAAGCCCTGTATATGTGTTTGTGTGGGTGTGTATGTTGCATTTGCTCTTATCTACTTATTTTTCTTACTTTAAGTGCAGTCTCTCTCATGGGAAAATATTCCACGTCATCTTGTCTTCATGGAGTGTGAAAAGAATTGTTCCACTGTAAACAGAGAGTACCTGTGTTTTGTGTTTTTGATATTAGATATTGATTGTTGTGCTCTTGGTTGCCATCGACTGTACCGTTTGCTCCCACACCCACTGTCCTTCCTGTTTCCTGGGGTATTCCCTAGTCTAGAAAGCTCTCTGTAGAGCCTCTTTTATGGCTGGTTCGCTTGAAGTTACATCAACTTGTCTCCACAAACCTCAAGAGATTCTGGGTCTTTCCCTTCTTCAGCTCAATAATGGAAAACTGAATAAGCAGAAAAAGCAACGCAGCTTGTCTGGATAATTTATAAGTCTAGGTTTATTTTCCATAATTATCAATGCATTTCAGCACAAGCGGTCATTTATTTCCACAGTGACACAGCATGACAGTCCTTTTGGGAAAAGGGCAAGCAGTGTGCAATGGGATGGTGGTTCCAGGAAGTCATTCTTGTGTTTGCCAGCTGTGTTCGGTAAATGTGCATCAGGAATAGGTCACATCTCTCCTGCCTGCCTGAACCAGATACAACACAAATTCGCACACACAGAGTAGCTCTATTTTAGACGATTGAATACCTTTACAAACCGGCTGACTACAGAACAGCAGTGAAGTCATATTTGGCTAGTACACCCCTTTGTTTTGTTATCTCAAGGCAGTTTGTGTGGGAGAGCCAGCAACTGGCTACAACACTGATTTGCTGTTGACTTGGCTTTCTTGTGAATTTTCCTTCACCTCCATCGCAGTTCATTTGAAATCTTTAAAGTATGGAAACACAAGCTGGGATCTTAGATGACAACAGCAAGACAAAAGTGGATTAAGAAACATCAGTTAATGCTGGTTTTCTGTTTTATCTTTGTAAAATGTTTCTTGAAGTCATACAAAACGTTAAAAGTGTAATAACATACACTCCAAAATCATTTTAATACTATGTCTCATATATTTAAAAAAAAAACAAATTTATGAATGAGAGGGCTAGAAGTCCATGTTGTTATCTACTGTAATGTTGTACTAATCCTTTTATAATTGTATAGTATCCATAAACGTAGTTGTGCTTTCATTAGCTATAAAAATTCGTGTTCACCCTCTCGTACTAAGGCTGAGCAACGAAGTCGGGTTGGATAATGATGATCAACAGCAAACGCAGATTTATCCCACGTCATTGTGTCCGTCTGTATTAGTGCGATGATGCTCTGAAGGCTGTAAACCTAATACCTCTAATACTAATAATAATGCCGTTGCTAATCCACTTTGCAGGGTGCATTAACCCATGGAGACAGAAGAGCCACAGAAACTAGAGACCTGAGCAAGTACAATTTTGAGAACAAGGTAGGCAAATTTCCAAACACCTGAAAATAATATTCATGACCTTAAGTGCCCAAAGTTTAAGTTACTTTTGACAGTATACAAGATATCCTATGTTACCTGTTAATTTGTGTTGCTGAATGAGCCTCCTGAGAAAATGTGTCTGTACCAATTACGTGATCTGTTTGTTGCAGTACGGTACCAAGGCTCTAGATAAAATCACCAAAGCAATCCTTGGCCACATAGAGAACAAGGTGCCCCCTCCCAAAGGCTACCCTGCGGGTGACGCCATGTTTTTCAGAGGTATGTTTAAGCTTTGCTTGACTGTAAGCATCTGTAAACAGAACAACCTAATCAGCACAATGTTTACTGTGATTAATCATTAAAACAACTATGTGTTTCTTTATTTCAGACATGAAACTTGGAATGATAGATGTGGGCATCTTTTGTAAGGAGTCTCGCTTTGGGATCAGTACTGAGAAAGGTAGAGTACCCAAGAGGCATGCAGGCATATTTTATGCCTGTATACTCAAGTTGAATACATCTACCCAGGCCACCTACTACAATTTTAAATATCAACACAAAATCAGCTCCATTAACTACTCTGTGTTGTGTCTTTATCCCAGACTGCAGCATCACAAAGTTCTTAAATCGCATCCTGGGGCTGGAGGTCCACAAGCAGAACTATCTCTTCCAGTACTTCACTGACAACTTTGACTACCTAATCGAGAAGGATAAGAAGGAGGGCAAATATGACATGGGAATCCTAGGTATGGAGGTCAAGTGTTAAACAAACACACAGCATGGTTTTGGGTTTTTACATAAATACATCATTTGTGATCTAAAATTTAAACGTAATGTAACCCCAACCAGCAAAAGATTTACCCTTCAGGTGCTGATTTAAAAAGAAAGATGGTTCCCAGTCTTCTTATGTGAGTAATTTTTTCAAACACTTGTTCTTTTGTGTCTGACAGACCTTGCCCCGGGTAACGATGAGATCTATGAGGAGAAGCAGGAAACTTTCTTGACAGCTGGAAACCCTCAGGATGGACAGGTTGTTCTCTATAAGGTAGGCACCGCGGGTACACTGTTAGATGGATTTGTTGAAGTAATTGTGTGTCACTGTCACTGATTCACCTGTGATGTGGGGCTATCATTACTCTGGACAATATACCATTATTGTATCATATCTTGAGTTACGAATTGTGTGCACACACCATGAACAGATGAGCAGTATTGTCACCTACATGGGCCTGTATGTAGGATGTAGCAGCCTCCAGAATGTCAGCAGACACTGTGGGGAGCACAGACTGATTTTGAGGCATTCCACGTCACCAGGATGTGACCTTCTAAAATCCTGTAACAGAATGGACACGGCGTTGGTGTGCCTGCCAAAAAGGCTTGGACGTTACAAACCAGAAGTGATTTCATGAATATACACGATGCCCAAAAAATGCAAATCTCGTGCTCTCTCCTTTTAGTTAAATCCAGTAGGGCTTGTAGTCTCCCAATAGACCAAAACAAAGAAAAGTTCATGTTTAATGGCAGCGAGGCAATTTTCACAGATTGGGTTGCAAATACCAATGACTATGAATTCATTAAGATTTCAGGGTTTGCACTGTGTACATTTTTGCATACAAAGAGACCTGTGAAATTTGTTCTACATAACCTGCACTCCCAGAGGTAACTCAAGTAGCTACCTCTGCACTATATGAGTTTTGATTGATGTCACTTTGCCAGCAGTAAGACTGTGATCATAAAGGCTTAGCCTGGGGCTGAGGAGCCTATGTAGACACCAGTGGGAGGTGGAAACAGGATAATTACTGGTATCTTCTGCTTTTAGCTGTCGGCTGCGGGCTACATTGACATTTCAGGCAGCCGAGCAGAATGCTGCATAGCTAAGACCAGTTGAGCAGGAACAGAGGGTGTCACTTATTCACTTATAGTGTATATCGGTCTGAGTGTGTTTTCTTAAATATATGTTTGATTTTTCTTTTGGGTTTCTATGCAAGAGTTTGTCGTACCTTCAGGACACCGTGGTTCCCCCTCTTTCACAGCACATGCTTTAGTCTGATCCTTTTTCTTTTTGTCTGTTTATTGGTATTTTTGTCAACAAACAGTAGACATGGTATACAAATTATATAAAATATGACAAAAACTGTACAGAATTTACAAGCGCATACATAACTAGTACTTATACAGTAAACATTAACCAAGGTACAAAGCTGCTTTACATGGTGAGTGACATTTTACAGAATAGCCTAGTTATTGTAGTAAAGAGGATATTTATTGCCTAGCCTCTACATATTCAATAAAGGGTCAAAGTGTTTCATAACGTTTTTGATCAACATTGTGTAAGTGGGAGGTTGTGTCTGTGTTCCAGTTCAGTAGAATCAATGTGGGAGCTAAAAGGTTTATGAATCTCGCCACATCAGAAGTGTGACCTCTGTCCTTTCCCAGTACCCCAAATACAAGTCTCTGACTTTTTGCCCCTGTAGATCAGTGTGGACAGAGGTATGCCCTGGGATGAGGCCCTCAACAGGTCACGGAAGCTCAGCGGTCCTGATGAGGGATTCTACCTGTCCCTGAAGGTGAGTCCATGTGATGATATATGATTTATTATTTAAAACAGACCTCACAGCATATGGATGGATGTCCACTAATACTAGTCCCTGAAACAGTGCAAAAAATAAACTCTCTGTGTGACTTCTCTACAGCTGCGAGGTAACAACCCGTGTGTGCTGCTAGCTGAGCAAGGAAGAGGCAAGCACCTCATAGTCTACAAGCCTAACATTGGCAAGCAGGCCCACCCTGAGAGCCTGGAGAACCTGCAGCAACGTTACCGGAAGGTAATTGGCTCTATTAGGCTAATAGTTGTTTCTCTACGTTGGTGTCTATTAACTGAATAATCAAGCCTTAATATTTGTAATATTTGTTGGTCTTAATATTTGTGTTTTTTATAAAAGGTCATCTTTGGGCTTGCTTATATTGTCACAAACATTGTCTTTTGAGTTTATATTTTATTTTTTCAAAATGGCAACGAAATGATGATGAGTTTTAAAAAAATCACGGAAAATATTTGACAGAAGATAACTGGACATTTTTAGGACCGATGCTTCCTTCTTGAGCTTGAGTTAGTGCTGTTTGGAGTATATATGGAGTCTGATGCCCCCTTGTGGCCACTGAATAGTACTCAACCAAGCTATGATCAAGGCACTCTACAGCTGAACAATGTGGCTTTTACAGACAAGTAAACTCATTAACAAAAACATGATCAGGTTAAGAATTAAAAGTAAATTTCTTTTTTTATATATTTTTTGGGGCTTTATTGCCTGTGTGATTATTAGTGGACAGCTGAAGACGAGACAAGGAGAAGGGCAGCGAGAGGAGGGGATGACACGCAGCAAAGGGCACTCAAATTTAAAGTAAATTTCAATGGGGATATTGAAGTTCCTTTGTAGTTTTACATCCTTATATGAACCACAGAGTGACGATAAATGAACTTTCACTATAAGTCAGTGAACACTGAAGTAATTTTGTCCCTGACACAACAAAGGACTGTATATAAAAAATATGACATAATAAATAGGGAAGCCAAAGTTACTAAAGTTTCGGTTTTAGTCGTCGGGTTAAGTGTTCCATCAGTCTGTGCATATAATGAGCTCTTTGCTGATTTCTGTGTTCCTTTTCCAGGTGACTTCAGAGGAAGCCAGGGAAATCTGGGAAAACCAGTTCACCTTCTCCTTCAAGAAGTGTAGCCATGCCAACTGGTAAGTAGGAATCCACAATGTCCATTGGAATGAATGGCTCAATGCATCTAATCAGGCTGGAACTTATTAGGACACAGTCAGGGTGGTTTTAAGGTCAGATGCCATTCCCAAGGATTTGCAGATCACCTGAGAACTAGTCATGAAGAAATAAGTCTCACATGTGCATTCGCCATCTGATGACCAGTGAACTGTGTTTACAATGCGAGGATGGAGCAGTCCCTCAACCTGCCATACAGCAGAGAAACATGTGGGCTGTGTTGTATGCATAAAATGTCTGACTTTCTTTTCTGTTTTTTCCCCTAGGAATGGGAAGTGTAAGAAAATTGAGGAAGGCCAGGAGTGTCTGCAGGGCATGCGCCTCCGTCAGTACCACATGTTGTGTGGTGCTCTTTTGCGTGTGTGGAAGCGCGTATCCGACGTGGTGTCTGACATCACCAACACCAGCATCCTGCAGATCGTCCGCCTTAAAACCAAGCAGCATAACAAGCAAGTCGGTCAGTACAAGTGAACAGCTTTTAAACTATCTCTCGCACTTTACATGGTACACACTCACACACACACACACACACACACACACACAGTCGGAATATTCTGGAAATGTTGATAAAAGAGAGGTTTTAAAATGTGAACTTAAATTGCCAAATGTCATGGAGTTGTTTTGATGGTAAAGTGTGACGCTGTTGAAGTGCTGACACTTCTTTATGACAAATTGAGGAAATGAAATTGTCGTTTACTTTCCTTATTTATCTCCAGTGAACTCCTGTGAGCTGCAACGTTGACTCTTAGTGACTCTGAAAAAATGATTAGGCCAGAAACACAGGAAATGTTGAAATTCTTTTGACTATAGAACTATAAATTTGACTATAGACTATAAAACCCAACAGTGTGAGGAAGTTCACTGGTGATTCTGTCTCTAGTCTAATTTGCACTATGCACAGATTTATAGATAATAAATATAGATATAAAAGGAAAAAAACACTGTACATATGTATCTGTTTACTGTTGTTGTTATTACATGTGCTGAAATATCACCTTTTAAGAGAAATTGTAGGAAGATCTGGTTTCGGATCCTCACCTGTTCTAAAAAGTGTTTTAAATATTTACCTCACTGTTAATTGACATGGCTGTACTCTTCGTCTCCCCCAGGTATCAAGATCCCAGAGAACTGTGTGGCACGCGTGCGCGAGGAGCTGTTGCTAATGGACGAGGAGGTGAAGAGGAGACGAAAGGAGAGGGAGCAGCAGGCTGTGGAGCAGCGACTGGTTGAGGAACGTAGGCGTAAGATGGAGCAGGACAACAAACACCTCCTGGAAAATCTGTTCAACCAGAAACCCATGCTCAACCAGTCCCTCACTCACCCCCACCAGTCTCTCACCCAAAATCAGATCCAAAACCCTCTACAGAGGACACAAACTGGTAACCTCTCTCAGCTACAGAGAATACAAGCCCAACCCCAGCCCACTTTACAGCAGCCCTCCCAGAACTTAACCCTTTTGTCCTTGCAGAGAAATCCCAGCCAAACCCAGCAAAGGACCCATAACAGCTGGCCCAACAATTCCACCTCCACCGCCAACCAGGGCCCTCTGTCCAACATGGTCATCCCCTCCTCCGGTCTGCCACAGTTTTACCCCCAATTTTTGTCCAATTTTCCACAGCTGAAGAACCCGTCTCTTCCACACCATCAGGCTGCGCTGCCTCCCAACTTGTCTTCCAAGAATCCCCTGGATGAGATCTTGGACCTGACTGTGAGCTCGCCATCCCCTTCCACAGACACCACAGAAGGCGGACAAAATCTGGACAGTCTCGCGAGACACTCGGCAGCATTCGGAGACGACTTTAATCTGTCTGTTGAGTCTCTGATCTCTCAGAATGCACAGAATGCCCAGCACGCTGCACAGCTACCGCAGCCTCCTTTGCTACAGCAGCAGCAGCAACAGCAACATCTGCAGCAGCAGCAACATCTGCAGCCCAATAACCAAGACTTGTTAGATTTTTTTGACTTGCCCCTGTCTCCCCTGATGACCGCGCAGAAAGACAGCCCTTCATCCTCTACCTCCTCTGGCTCTTCCTCCACATCCTCCACATCCTCCACAACTTCTTTGTCAAACAACCTGCTTTCTCACACCTCCGCCGGCCTCCTGTCCATCCCAACGTCGTCCTCTTCTCTCTTCTCCAGCCCGTCCGCATCCTCTCTGTTTTCCAACTCTTCCTCTCACTTCCCTTCTCCCTACCCCCCCCTCCAGGGGTCAGACTCTCTTTCCTTACCCAACGGCCACTGCAGCGCCTCCGCCCTTGACGTCCGCGAGGCTCTGAACAGCATGCTACAGGCCGGACTGGACCGCAAATCTGTCATACAATACCGGCAACCAGAGTAGGAGCTTAAACAGCAACAGCTCGTCTGGACTTTTCTTTGGGTGTTTTTTTTTGTTGTTGTTGTTGGTTGTTTGGTCTTTTTAAAGCAGATTGTGTCTTGTTCGCTGCTGTCTGTGATCGCACCCTCGGACCTACTCCCTCTCCCCTCAGGGCCTATAGTCACGTCACTGCCTATCCTGCGCTCGGCTCACCCTTCCTCTATCCACCTGTAGCGTTCACCTGCTTGAGGCTGTCGAGGTGATAGCGGGCCCGATCAATATCAGATTTATGCACCAAAAAGTGCGTCCTCCACAGTGAAAGGCAGCTGTAAAACAAAAAAAGTGAGAAGAAAACCCCCTCCACCATGTGATTAACTGTATTTTATTGACCATATGAGCTGTCAAAACAAAAGCTCATTCATTGAGGTGTGGAAAATCTTTAATAAACCTCCCGCTGCTGATTTTACGAGGTATGACTGGTGAAGTTGCTGGAAGCTCTAAACGCCTTTCACCAGTTAAAAACCGCATCTTTAGACTTTGCTTTACTGTTACTTCGCTTCATGGCTGTTTGTCTTGACTAAAACAAGGCTGTATGCAAGGCTTGGTTTGAGTGAAACTAAAGATAGTGTTGAACTGGAAGATGAGGGAAAAAAAAAGAAAACCCCAGATAAAATCTTTTAGCTGAATAGCCATGAAATGCCTCAGTTTTCTTTCTTTCTTTTTTTTCTTCTACATCCTTCCTATTGTTTCTCTCCCTGCTTGTATGAACACTAGTGTGAGGAAAAAGGGAGAGGAAGAGCAGTCTGCTGTTGCAAACAGTGCCTTTGGAGAAATCTATAAATGCAGTCTTTAAAAATCCATGTAGCCTATGTATAGATTTGTACTCTTGAGCATTGGTTTTAATTTTAATTTAAATATGGTATATTTGTATTTGACTTTTAGACCCCTCAGTCAGTCAGTCAGTCAGTCAGTCAGTCATGGTCAGGTCAGTCAGTCAGTCAGTTCATGTTGTTTGTGATTACACCTATGCTGGTGGTAGGTTCACGGAAGAAGCCTACCATTAAGCCTGTCTGTGTAGTCTGATCTTAACACCATGGACTATTCTGTTCCTCTTCCCTGTGAATACGACAACGAGGTCAGTATGGCACAGATTATTGGAGCGCAGTGTGTAAAAATTGTGTCCAAAAATATTTACTCACGACACCTTCTTTTTTTTTTTTTTTTTTTAAAGCTGACAATAACATTTAATGATGTGACTCCTGGTTTGATTTGATTTTAAATTTCTCAGGAAAGTCTCGAGTGCGTTTTTATTTTCTTTTTCTGTCATCTTGACCAACACAGATATGACATTTAGTTTTAAGTCTTTACATTACAGCGAATAACAGAGGATTTCAAGTTTTTATTGTCATGAGGTCTGAAAAGAACATCCTGTTTTTAACTAAAGCATCACCTTGATAAGAGCTGTTAGTCATGAAGTGTGTTTCCATTTCAGACGTCAAGACTATAAAAACATTTTAAACGTGTAGACGTGTGTGATAGTACATATTTAAAAAAACCTGTGAGATCTGGCCATCTTTGTATGAAAAGGATGCACTGTAGTTGGTTCACGACGAAATGCCGGGATAAGTTCAAGTGATTAAAAAGCAATAAAACCATATTCTACATTTGTTATGAAACATAAATGCCTAAGTACTGTTTACGCTCAAAAGGCAAAGCTTTGTGGTTACCTTTGCATGGTATGAATCTTCTTATTTCTGTTGAGCTTCATAGTCTATTAGTTAAACAGATTCTGAAATGCATACAACCTTTGTATAGTACGTTTTCACGGGATGAACGCAATGCGTTCTTGATGTTTTAGTCATCGTTATTATAAAAGTTATTGTTATTTATATTTAAGGGATATTTAGATTTTAGATATGTTATCCTGCTTATTAGAGTAGTTAACAAAATGTTTGGTCAGGGAAGTTTCTAGTTTTCAAGATTACTATAAAACAAATTCTATTATAACCTGCCACCAAATAAGATTGCACTGTTCTGTACTGCTGTACAGTGTCTGGATTTATTTCTGCTCATTTCAGTTTTGCTTTTCTCAAGTAGAATTGTTTCTCCAACTTGTAGACCTTTGCCGGGCCTTCAGTTTGCAGAGAGATACCAAAGTGTTCCACAGACTCCCCTAAAGTTACTGGCTCTAAGATATCAGAACTTTTATCAATCTCAGGAAGAAACTTACAAGAGGTGTAACGGTGGGGCGTTAGCAGAAATATATCATTTCCCCTTATAACAGTGGTGAAACTAACCAATACATGTGCTATTTTTTTCTTAACTCTGTGCTGTGACTCTTGCTGTATTTATGTTTTAGACTTAATGTGATGGGTTTGTCGTTTGTCCTTGTGAACATGTCAGTGATTTTAAATGTTTATGCCTTCTTAGGACAAAGATCAAAGGCTGTTTCTTTTTAAGGAACATTATTTTTCTGTGGACAGTTTTATTTTCATTTGTGTTGCAGTTTCTGGAAATTTAATCCATGTCAAAGCTGACAGGTTTTTCAGTCGATTCGCACCTGAGTTATGCTGAAATGTGCAATTGATCTGTCCAAGCCTTTACCCCTCCCTCAGTGTAACACATGTTAAGGTTTAGACTGACTCACAGTATCCCACATTCTTGTTAAGGCTTCTCTTTTTAAATTTGCAGCATCTTGCTATAGCATGTTTTTTTTTTCTCGTACCCTCATTAATTTTGCTTTTAATATTCCACATCAGGCACATTCCGAAACATCAGTCTGCAAAAGATCTGCCTTCGCAAATACACAGATAAATACACAAATAAAGCTTTATGAAATTGAGGGGTATGGACCGCATTTTTAGGAGCAAAACCTTTTTTTTTTAGTTGTTTTTTTTAAAGAATTCTTCATTAGTGTCGTTAGGCCTTTTATCATTATATTATCATTTTGCACTAAGAATGGCATAATCAAGTTACTGTTCTCTTGTTGGTTATGATTGAGCGTTGCAAGCTTGTTGTGTTTCTGATCTTTGATGGATAGCTCTGTGTATACTGTAACCATCTTTCTTGTTTCTCCACCATTTGCATATTATATGTTATCAAAGTTATCACGTTCAAATAATTTATTGCTAACAAAAAATGAAACAAAAAACATGCTACTGATTGTATGTATTTTTAAACAAAGCCTATTTTTTCTGTAAAAAAAAGAAACTGTGTTCAGCACTTTTATTCTGGGTTGTGCTTTTGTTTTCTATATATTTATAATTTAGATCCAAATGTATATATTGTAAAATTTGTGCCTTTCGACTAATTCTTTAAAAAGGTTTTCTACTCATTTAAGGAAGGACTATATGAAATTGCAATCTTAACTTTGTAAACAAATAAAAACTTGAAGATTGCTGAAACTGACTCTTTTGTTCATTTGGGAAAAGGCCTTTATCCTCACTCCTGGAGGTATATTGTCGATTCATTAGGAGCAGCATGTGTGCTGTCACTCCTTGTTTATTTAAACCATCAAAAAGAAAATCCACTGAGGGGATAAAATTGAGCAGAAATAAAAAGTCAAGGTTCAACTGTTACTCTACAAACATCTGTCTTTAGCAGCCAACCACAGCCTAAGTTCCATGTAATTGATTGTGTTATTAATAAAACAGGAAATCAGTGGTAGAATGTAACTAAGTTTATCTACTTCTGTGCAATTTTGACGTAGGCCCACTTGTACTTTAATTAGGGAAATTCCTTTTCCCTCCACTATATTTATATAGATATATAGTTACTGGTTACAGATTCAGATTAATAAAACATAAATATTCAACAACAACCAACTAATAAGTTATGATGTATTATTGTAGATTAAAGCTACCTGGCAGTAAAGTAGATAAAATCACCTCCACCTTTACCAGCTGCAACATTAAAGAGATGAAACATGAATGCATTAATAATTATGCTCCAATGATCAATATTAATCTGGAATGGGCCATTCTGCATAATGAGTAGTCTAAGTATATGTTGATGCTAATACTGATGTAGTCAAATTCAAGTAACAATGTAAAGTAAAAGTCCTGATTTAAAAGTGAAAAAGTTAAAAATCTGATCTTTTTGAGGAGCTGGTGGGATGAGGGGCCTTCTACTTTGACAACCACTACTACAAAATATGCTCATATCTCAAGTTTCTATAATATAACAAAGTGCAGGGCCAGTACACGATTTAAGGAAGTAAACTTGTGAAATAAAGCTTAAGATAAGATACACTTTATTGATCCCCTAATGGGGAAATTCCACAGCACATAATAAAAACAGAAATACACATTAAATAACACATTAAAAATACAAGATATAATGATTTAAATAAAAATGTAGTAGAATTAGAGTTTATGGGTTGTACCTCTCTTGTTTTCAAAATAAAAGCCTATATTACGAGATAGATTGTGACACCTGTGATCATTTATTTATAAAGTGAAACGTGTCTCTTAAATTACATAATCGTCACCTGCTTATGATGCAGTCTCTTATCGCAACCAAAACTTAGGTGGAGGATTTATTTATGAGGTGCACCGACTTCCGGTTGGTGACGCCAACATTCGCGTGATGACGTTGTGAAACTCACCTGTACGTCGAGCAGTGGACGCCACGCCTCCACACCTGTGTTCAGGAAGATTTAGAAGGAAGTTTTGAAACCTCCGGGACAGTCAGCGCGAACAAACTTTAAAGAAGATTTTTATTGAAGGATTTTAAAGGTCGGACGAATCGTCTGAGAGCGACTACACACACAGAGAGCGGCAGGTTACAGGTACGTTAACCTCCACAGCTGCTACACAGGTAAAGCATGGCTGTCAGTCCACATCCTCAGGCTGGAGACGGGAAGTAGAAGTTAAGGTTAAGGTTTGGTGTTTAACAACTGGAAGCTTTTTCACAGAAGTAATTTAACCGAAAACGTAACATGTTTGTGTAAAGTAGATACAACTTTGAGCAGTCACAGGCCCATAGCTTATAATGGCACTGAAAGCCTGATAGCTTCATTAATTATCCCTTCATTATGAGTTGGAGTTGGATTAATACAGGCACAGTATAGACTGTATTCTACATATATTGGTAGGGTATTTGTTGCCATTACTGTGTGTGTGTGTGTGTGTGTGTGTGTGTTGTGTGTGGTGTGTGTGTGTGTGTGTGTATGTGTGTATGTGTGTATGTGTATGTGTGTATGTGTGTGTGTTGGTGGGCCCCACTTTCCTCATCCTCACCTTACTGGTTCTGCCACACATGCAAGTTTCTACCTGCCTGTCAGAGTTTCACAACAGTTTCGACTCTGCATTCCCAAACAGCTGCGTCTTACTTTCCTCTGACTCCAATCAGTGTATTTACTGATACACTGATTGATTAAGGATGAGTCAATGTGTTCAGTCTAAGGGTTTGTTGTTCTGGAAAGGCTCAGTTTCTGGATAGTTGAGTCTTTCTGGATAGTTGTATTTAAATCCAGCTGTTGGTGAAACGTTCATGATCAATACTGAAGGTTTCTGTCAGGAACCTTCACCTGCTGAGGAGACTGTGGGGGTGATGTGGATAAAGTACTTCATCACATTGATGCCATGTGTAACATCTAATACTGCTGTAAACCTTTGCCCACAGGGACTTAATGTTCTTACACTGAGAGATACTAAAGGGACAACACTATATATCTGACCTCATATTCATTTATTTCTCTTTGTATTTAACAGACATTTGCCTTGACTGAGGTCATGTGCTTGAGATTTTCCATTAGGCTCCATTTAAAAAGACTACCTGCAAGGTTTCTAAAACACTCTTTTGCATTCATTTTGAGTGAATCAATATGAATATTTCCACATAACCCAAGTGCAGACATCTGTATAGGAGTCCAGGTAGCTATACAGCCGGTGTTTGCTGTACTTAAACACTGTTGACAGTACATGAGTAAGTCCACTGTGAGTGGGAGCTACAAAGCCCTGGCCTGTGTAATTACTGCCACTCTGTGGGCTCTGCAAACCTCTGGAGTATTTGTCTTTCAAATCTCCATACTTA